ACTCCCTACAGCGCTTGTCATGGAAAGCCTGCAGATGTAATCAACATCAGAGTCTTTGGGTGCAAAGCAGATGTGCTTTACCCTTCCGAGTTAATTCCTCAGAGATGGCAACCTCACATTAGAGAAGGAAAATTCATCATGATAGGAATGACTTCGACGAAAATTTGGAAGCTACTTGATACGCTTACTCTAAGAGACAAAATCTCTACAGATGTTGAGTTCAATGAATATGAATTCCCTAAAATTGACATCTCACTCTTTACTCTACCTGATAGACCAGATGTGCTAACATCTAGACAAGTACCTTTAGAGCGAACAAAGATGTACCAGCCGCAGATGATAGAAGCTAGGCAGAAAGGTGTTAAGCAAGCGCGTAAGAATTACGCTGCAATTCGCCCAATGGAGGCAATGAGTTGGGGTGAAAATGACTCTGAATTGCAAAATCCTGTAACTCGCCTGCGAGAGGCTGAAGATGCGTCTGATCAACGCTATATACAGAAGGCTCCTATTAAAATTGACGAGCAAGAGACCTACATAGATTTGGTAGAGCTACAGATGTTGTAAAAATCTGAGTTCATAACTGCGTACACCTTCAGGGGATAACTGTGCACCAGCAAAGTTAATCCCTTAGAGTCTGATCACTATTGTCTCCTGGTCGCTACACACTAACATCAACGTGTTCACTACAATGAGGACACCATTGTAGTTACTCTGGCTATCATAGACAATAACATGTAGAGGAATAAGGGTAGGAACTCCTGTATATAGATAGGGCCTTTTTACTCTCAGTATCTACATCAATCATCCACAAAAAAATACAATTCACCATCAATCAATCATCTTACTCTGTCCAAGTGATCTATTGAATTCTCCCATACCTATCAGTATTCTATTCATAAGGTGACGTCTCCCTATCCATCGCCCTCAGCCTTTCAATAACAGACTCCTGTAATAAAACGTGAAGGAAGTTGCCACGAGAACGCGTGGAAGAAGCTCTCACGAGAATCCATGGTCGACGCCAGTCATCCCACTGCAGTAGTGAAAGAGGCCACCATGAGGGCGGACGGGCAAGAATATCTAGGAGAGCGAATTAATTTAAAAGAAAATACTCCTCAGATTATCCGAGAGGCCTTCGAACTATCGATTGGTCAGACTCCTTGCTCCCCGCTAAAATCAAGATATGGCAGACCGCTGAGAAGAGTGGCAAAGGCTGTGTTCAATCATGTCGTTACAGCAAATGCTATTTCTGCACAAGCAGTCCATATTAATGCCGGTCAGTTGTCATCAATTCAAGTGCCCACTCCTCCATTTGAATCTATCACTGTTGAACAGGCCATGCATGAAGATCCCAAATTATGGAAAGAGGCAATAAAATCAGAATTGCACTCTCTGCAAGCTACCAACACATATACGATTTTGACTGGCTCTCCACCTCCTGAAAAGAAAATAATTTTCAGCAAAATAGTTCTAAGAAAGAAGTTCAGAAGTGACGGCAGCTTAGACAGACGAAAAGCACGAATTTTTGTCCGTGGATTTGAACAGCAGTACGATATCAATTACTTCGAGACTTTTGCGTCGGTGATACGGTACAACACACCCCGGATACTTCTATCAAAGGCTGCAGTAGACGATCATGAAATTGAAGCGCTTGATGTAGATACAGCTTTTCTAAATCCAAAATTAGAAGAAGAGATTTAAATGGAGATACCTGATTTCTTTTCTTTACAACACCCTGGAATCAATCGAAAGGAAAATTACCTCAAACTTAACAAATCACTATACGGCTTAAAGCTAGCCCCGCATATTTGGTTCAAAGAAGTCAAAGATGACTTTGATTGGATTTTCTTCAAGAGTAGAGATGCTGATCCAAATTTATTTATAGGTAGAGGTGTCTTTGTACCTCTTTATGTAGATGATATGCTAATCATTGGGAAACATATAAATTTAAATTTCGTCAAGTCAGATATCATGAATAAATAGAGTTGTAAAGCGCTAGAACGAGTTGACACTTTCGTCGGAATTCAGGTGGAAAGAAATAGGCAAAAGCGCACACTTTGCATTCACCAAACCGCCTATACAACAAAACTTATTCAGCGACTGGGAATGGAGAAAAGTATACCAAAGGATCTCTCACTCCCAGCAGGAACAGTCCTAAGCCCATCTACCAAAGATGATATCCATCAAACGCTTAAAGATGATGACATCTGCCTCTATTGACAAATTGTTGGATCTATCCTATATATTTCTAATGGTACAAGGCCAGACATATCTTATGCGGTAGGGCAACTTGCACGATTTATGTCTGATCCCAATTCAAACCATTTAAGTATGGCAAAGCATCTACTCAGATACCTCAACGGTACAAGGACACTCGGGGTTAAATACAGATCTGTCGCTACAACAAATATCTGGGCAGCATGGACAAATGCAACATGGGGTACCGAAAATGATAAGAAATCATTCCAAGGGCAAACAATCATATGGAATGGGGGCGCAGTAACTTGGTCCGCTAACCGTCAGAAAGGTACAGCTCAGAGCTCAATGGAGGCAGAGATCATGTCTTCTAGTGAAGGAGCTAAAGAAATCGCCTGGATGGAGAAAATTGCTCATGACATGAACATCAAAATAAAGAAACCTCCGCTTCTACATCAAGACAATCAGGCTGCAATAGAGCTTTCCAAAACCACCAAATTTCATCGAAGAGCTAAACACATTGAAATTAGGCACTTCTACATACGAGACGACATGGTGATGAAAAACAGGCTAATGGTCACATTTATACCAGGTACTGAACAGATTGCAGATATATTAACAAAACAGTTACCCAGGGACCAGTTTGTAAAGTTATTGTTCGAGCTAGGCTTGTCTTATTAAACGTTGAACGAAATTTATTGACGATATTCATACTACAGAAGTTCACACAGCAGATTATGATGGGACCAAGATAAGAGTACTGTTGTTCGGATTAGGTCCTGGTCAACGATGTCTAGCCTAATTGTGCTATGTTGCAGGCTATTGTTACAATTATTCATGGGGTAATCATCAGGGTTGTGAGTAGTTTCGGTTTTGGTGTGGGTTGTTAGATTGATACCTGAGTGTGTCCCATAGTAGTCAGATATGCGACTCGAATAGCATATGCACGGTTAACCTCAACCCCAAAATGATGATACGAATCAGGTTTTACATGCTACGTCCTGTATGAATAGCGTGGTTGGAATATGGGGAATTTACCTATAGATGGATAGACGCTGTAGCCCTTTGATGGTTGGGACAAGTCTTCTACTAAATAATATCTGCATCAGTCCTAGCCTCTACAATCCGATCGACACGTAAGAGGATAAAGCTGCCCGCAAACGGGAGAGAAACTCCACATGCATTGAACAAGAGTGAAGATATCGCCGAATGGACAAGCACTTGCGGCGAGTAAAAGGACAAGGGGAGGCAGAAAGAAGCTGGAAATATAGCGGCCTTTCAGGAGTGGAAGGATTTATGGACAAGCCAGAACAGGAAACAGCGCCCTGGCCGACCAGCATCAGCCGATCCAGAACATTGGAAAGCGGCAAATATATTTACTGATGAACAAACAGGCAGCATCAAAATGAACTTCAAAGACACACCCTTAAAAATCCACCGCAGCCTAACCAGGGCCCAAAGCAGTGTCGCCATTCAGCTAAGAAGCGAGCATATTAGACTCAATTATTTTCTATGCATAAGAAAAGTACGCGGAGTAGAAATTCCAAGCTGTCAATGTGGATATCTGTCGCAAAACGTCAAGCACATGGTGCTAGCGTGTCCACAGTGGGCAAGTGGAAGAGGCGACTTTCTCCAACAGGCTAAAGACAGGTCATTTGAAGCAATGATGAACAGCCCAGAAGATGTGGCTAGAATTACACAGTGGATACTAAGCAAAGGTTTGATAAAACAGTTTCGACTTGCAGGGGAAGTCGAGGTAGTAATGTCGGAAAAAATAAATAGATCCGGAAGGGGAGAGGACGGAATCCACGCTGGCTGGACAGTGTAAACTGCACTTCCTGAAGGTAAACTAAATAAATTGATAGGAATATAAAAAGACAGGATCAGGGGGGTTTCACCAAATTGGTTCCCTCCTTTGTAAATAATTGTTTGGATTAGACCAGGGTCAGGAATATACAGAGATGCTCGGATTTATTTCAGGCTACTGTTTCTCCTTGGAGTATAATACGAAGGTCTATGATTCAAAGTGTGAGAGGTTCAGTTTTGATACAAGTGTGTTAAACTATTACATCAGTGCATGTTTAGCGGTTACACGGCTCAGGGGTGTAGATGCATGGAACATGTTTAGCATAGGAAAACACCACCATCGCGAACATTAATGTAACATTCTGTAAACGGGACTGTAACTAGATCTAACTCAAAGATTAAGTCTTGATGTGTTGCTAAGTGGATGGATGACGTATGAATACTTTGGATAGATAGGTTATAAGTGACCTGGACCGGAGGTGGAGACGGCAGGTTCTATGATAAGCACATCTTTTAATATAATCAATTATCTTTCATCTACATTTACATCTACATCTACACTTTTATTATATTATCTTTGCAATACCTAAAGTATATTTACACATATTGACATCTGACAATCCATAATTATTTTATGCCTGTTGTCCGAGATTACAAAGTCGATAAGTTATGAAGATAGTCACCTGAATGGACCCATAGGGTGCCTAATCGGGTTAATTGAAATCAAAATCAAATCCTAGCCTCTCATAGAGCAATCTCATGAATTATTTCCTTGTCTGTGATTACAGACCAATATGCAAAGTCGACGATCAAGTTTGAAGTCGATAAAATATGAAGTCATTATACTCATACACTCGTCTAATAACGGACGGTTGGATCTTATCATTTGCTTTACATCTGCAAATTCTTCGTGTAAAATCTATGACAACGTTGCCATAGATATGAATATAGGGAGTTAAAAAATTTAAAATATATTGTTTATGTACTAAGTTAGTGCATATCTAGAAGAATCCCATATGAACATTGCTATCAAGAGAGACTTGCCCAGAGCCTTCATTTGTAATTACATCCCGAACTATGCATTCTAGATCACACATTTCATTTAATGATTGTATTGAAGCATATTCAAGCCTTGCTCCTTCATACTCTATTCTGCAAGGATCAGAACACATTGAGAGTATGCATTTATGAGGCATTGTATGCTTGAAGCAATTGGGAGAAATGTTAAGATCGTAGAAAGATTGTGTCATGATGACGCCGCGATTCTCAATCTTTCCGTAGGCCCGATCACCTTCATTCAAGCATGACTTGCATGTAGTCATGATCACTGCATTTGAATATTCATCTTTCAGTTGCCCGAATCTTCCAAGTGTATGGGAACGAGGACACTCTACTGCAACTATTCTTGTGCATGTCAGGCACAACAGGAACACCTTTCCATTGTTACTAGTATTGGTAATTGCGGATGAGTCTTCATGCTTTCGAACGCTTAGCTGGAGTGCTGTATTTGTCTTTGAACAATCTTTTGGACTGTTTTCCAGAAGCATACCTGATGCAAGGCTCTGATGCCGAGAGCTATTTGTCAAAAGCCCCTGAGAAGAAGTTGAAGGCAAGGATCCAAGAAACCAACGTGGCGAATTTATATATACGTTAATGTCCGTATTAGGAATAGAAAATAAAAGCCTTTCATTATAAGTCCCAGCGGCAAACTCGCTCATAGCTCTGCGAGCACGTTTCTTCAGAGCTCTATACTCGACTGAATCAATTCTCTCCGGAGCATGGCAAAAGGTTAAAGTTATTGCACAATTTCGCAATCTGTCTATAGTAGATTGTAACAATTTGCCATAAATTGTACTCCTAAGATATTTCAGTTCCCTTTCCGATACATCGTGAATGTTATATTTTGGTTTTTCGCCTGCTGTATTGATTGATACTGACGTGCCAGGAGATGTGGTATAGAGCGCACACAGACGACTCATATCTGCAAGCATAGGAATATTATCAAAACTGAACACCAAAGACATTTCTCCATGCTCTGAATGATTGATTGCAACTCCAGTGTAATTGTTCGTGTTGTTATGAGATGTGGCAAACCAAATATCTTCTGTTTTAGTTATTTGAGACATTTTTGAATAGAATTGACCTGAATAAAGATGTGAAAAGTATTGTCGAACCAACAGATAGATGTCATGTACAACAATGTTACTGCAATTCTGTCAGATATAAGAATTTTTATATTCTGCACGGAAAGATATTTTGGTCCAAATATAAAAATATCAAACATGAGAAGTATTCAACCCTAACACCACGAATTTGGTTATTTAACTTTATACTACGTGCTATGCATTCATCCTTGTAGTTTTCATATATTATATCCGATTTTATGTACTTAACCTTTCTACTTACTGGAGCTATGATGCATACTCTGTGGCCACGGGATGGTGTTTACAGCGGTTTTAAATACGGCGCATATTTGCTTCAGGGGCTAGACCCCTGATAGCGCCGTATTCGTTAGGGGAAGAAACTTGTCCTAGATTTCAAGGCTAAGACTAAGGGCACAGTTTGGTTTCTCCTCAGCGTGAGTTCTATGCAGATCTACTCAATTCACTTCAAAATTAATTTCCCTCAAAATTTTTAAGATAGCAGAGCACGTCGCCAGCTAGTATTGCAGACTGCTCGAATCGAGAACTGACGAAGAGTTCCAACAAGCCATCTAACTCACCGGTTTGGCCTTTCAAGGCCACATTACAGGAATCCTGCGGGGCAAGCCAGCCAGCCCCAAGCCTCTGCACCAGCTTAAGCTGCTAGTGGCAACACCATCAGACTTCTCCTCGTGCCATATACAGAGCCGAGGAAATTGACCACTGCGAGTGGCATACGTCTTGTATAGATCCTAGCCAGGGTAAACACGAGACCCGCTGCAGCCAAACCACCGGCTGCAACTGCAAGATCAAATCCCACTCAGGGGTCGGACTCAACCACATATCAGACTCCGGAGAGATACTGGATAGAGTTGCTCTGAAAAAGTTACAAGCCGGCTACCCCGGCGGCCACATGCCCACATCGAAGCTCAAGGCATCAGCAGCGATGCTCGAGAAACCCGACGACCGCGTATTTTTACGGCGCAGACCTGATCACCCGTGAAGACGCATGCCTCCTTACTCCATAAAATAAGCTTAGCTAGAAAGCTACGTCTAGCTAATCCCTCAATTGGGCAAGTCATCGTCGTCAACTCAAAGCTCGCTATACAGGCTGATGGGGAAGAAGCAAAAGCGCGCTACTGATAGGAGCTGCTATCCTAGATAGCTTCGAAACCAAGTTAGAAGTCGCATCCAACTGGATCTCAGCACTTGCACCCAATATTCCAGACAAGTTGTACACCCTCGAGGGGCCAGCGCCAGTCACACTAGAAATGGTGATTGAAGAAGCGACCATTAAAACAGTCGCTAGACCAACATCGGCTCGTGCTTTTGCGACCAGCATGGTGAGGCCCTTAGCATACTAGGTGTTGCACTTTGCAACAGTAAAATCAAAGCTTGGCGAACGACTGTTTGAAGAAATTGATTGGCTCCACAAACTCCATTATAAGTCCAAAAGTGCGCAATGCAACTAATCCTGGGGCATCACCTGATAAAGATTTACTCGCGAGCAGAGCGATACTCATGGTGTGGGTCCATCGAGCACAAGGCTCCCGATTGAAAGCAGATTATCCCGAGATGCATCAACTGCCATTGACCACATTCTTCTGTCGAGCCAAACTACATGGCAAAGCCGGTGTGGGTTAGCGGCGAGACGGTGCAACGTACAAGACACCAGCTTTCGGTAATCTGCGAAAAGGGTTAAAAGGAAAAAAAACCTCGTTACGCTAACTAGAAGCCAAGCAGAAAGCCGCCGAGATGACTACTGAAAACGAACTTGCAACTATTCCTGAATGTCTGTAAGAGATCACGATCCCATCGAGCTTCAAAAAACGGCACAAATGATCTTGTTCCTTTGCGCAAACTTTAGCAAAGGAGAATACGCATTAGAAATCATCCTGCAATCGGCTTGGCATTTAGAAATCAATGTTCTACTTCAGGAGCCCTGGACCGAGTATAAAGACGGCAATTGGCTCATCAAGTAACAACCCGACTTCGATAAGCACTTTCTACTCAGCTATGGTCCCGACTCAGCCAAGCCACTCTTTGCAATATACACTAGATTAGGAAAGAAAAGCCAGATGCAGCCAATTTGTGATATATCACCCGACTTAACCTCTGTCTCATTAGAGGGAGTGAAAATTGTTTTGATACACCGCGCTCCAGGAGCAGATCTTCTATCTCTGCTAGCATGGAAGCCGAGCGGCTCTACCATAATCGGCGGAGAATATAACTCCACGCATCATGACTGGCAACCTATTACCATCCGACTCCACAGTGATGGTCAGAACCTTGTAGATAAGATCCTTGAACACAGAATAGGCCTAACTTTACGAACAGTTGCGCCAACCCACGACCGAGGGAACACACTCGACTTAGTTCAGTCCAACGTCGGAGCTCTGGCCAATATGTCGATAGTCTCGACTCGATACTAGACTATCGGACTCTAGCCAGGAATTCCACTCGCCCAAATTCAATGAGCCAAATCATCATAAAGATCGGACAAGCATTTCGGATCAATGATAGCGCCTTCGAAGACTTTGCAAGATCGTAAAGGAGGCATGGGATTCCGTGTCTTCCGAAGATCTTGTGAAACTCATTAAGAGTATGCCAGCAAGATGTCAGGCTGTAATGGATGCGGACGGGGAACCAAGCAGATATCAAGGCCTGAAAATATTCCATTCACATGTTCAGATCCAGGGTTAACATAAGGCTGTGGAGCTCTAATTTCTAATCCAAAAAACCTTTGAATTCTTGTACTTAAGTTGTTGTAATCTAACGCTTTTCGTACTCGGACTTCATGGTGAGCAGTAGTTGTATAGCACGTGATACTATGCGGGGGAGAAGGAAGAGGATGGCGAAAGCCGCTAGCCAGACCTAAGCGATCTGGCCCACCTGTAGATGGGGAAATCTCAAATTGTATGTAGAGAAAAAACAACCCTAACTAGTACAACAATAATAGTAAGGAACTTAGACATTCACATCTCAGTTATTTCATACATCGTGACCCATAAACCTCTATCTCATCTCTATCACTAAACGACAAAGCTTCAACATAAGTAACGGAGTCAAGTAGCACAAATGCACGAATGTTATGCAGCCGATCATTATAAAAATTAAGTTTAGTATCAAGGAAAGACCACTGCAAAGTAAGGTATCAAGAATAATATTGCCATACAAATTTTTAACAATCTGAGCAAATACGAGGGCTAGATACAAGAGGAAATTTAAGATTAGCAACATCATTTTTGCCAGAGAGCTATGCAGCATTCCAAGCTGCTCTTGCCACAAATTTTGTATCCTGAATATCATTGATTTCTCTTTTTTAACCCAGTTTCATCGCTTCGCTTTTCGTGCTACGACATGGCGGGTGTGGATAAATCCAGCGGTATCGGTGCGCCGCAAAAAGCGACCATGGGTATTACAACAACTGAAACGGGGCGCAGACAGCCCCGAGTGATTACAACCTTGAATCAATAGGGAGACTACCTAAATAGCTCAGGTTAATCGACATGGGCGAGATGGATGAGGATCACTTACCAACGATGGAGGGCTTCAATGAAGCCATCAAGGCCTTTAATTTTCATAAGAAGGCATGGGCAACGATGTCCCTTATCCCGTCTCCGATCGAGGAGAAGATGATAGCGTTTGGGGGGAGGAAGCCAAGAAGAGCCTGGCGGACTCCGCACGATAAGCCACTCCTGTTGCGGAATCGAGTGCATTGATATTGAGGATATACGCGTAGCTCGTAGCCCCACAAATGACGAAAACGGCGGTCAGGATAAGAATCTACAGGGCACAAAATTTATATACGCAAGAGCTACTTTCAAAGGTGCAACAATGCACCAAAGAAGCATTTGCATTTCGCCGGATGCAAATCAACAACACCGAGTTGTTCGCTCAATCGGCGTGCTAGAGAGTAGAGGCTTTCAACATGCGACAACCAATCGAAATCAAGATTTTACGGCAATACTTTCCCTCACATGGATAAACGTAGTAGAAGCAAGGATGGTGTCTCATGGGGAGTTGCTTGCCAAAATACAACTCGGTATTAGATCGAGCTCCTAAACAATTGGGACAGACTCAGGAACATAGGCTCGTTTCATAGGAACTGCGTAGTAATTATGTTCAAGACAGAGCTTAGGGCTGTCCTATTATCTGATGTACATATATACCTAGCGTGAAGGAGTATTCTTCTTTATGCAACGTCTTCTGTTTATGCTGAAACCTATTGTTCACATACTTATCTCTTCTCTAATGAAGATCGCCGTTATTGTACCAACCTCACCTACTACTCACTTTACCTTTACCTCTTCCGAGAAGCCTATACTTTACGCTGACTTTATACCTCCTCCTCATTGGAATCACCACTATACTACACACCTATACCCTAATTGTACCCTACTCGTACCCTACGGAATACCGATAACACAGTGCCTTGAGATTCCCCTAGAGGTTTCCGGTGTCCCTTTACAGACTCGAATTGAAGGTGACAGAGATGCCGACAACCATGCCATCATTAGGGAGACTGAGACGGCCACCAATGCTCAGATTTCCGGCCTTGCAATTAACAGAATACGATGGTTATACGATGGAAAGAAGCACCAGCGGTCAGAGAAAATGGCCGCAATCCATGATCAAGCGTAATTAGCCTCCCATCGGAGACAATGCAAAGGGGGGTAGTTCGACAGGGCCTTGTCATCAACGCCATGCTCCTCACTGCGCAGATGTGATCACCACGAGCCCAGCCAAAGCAGCATTCCAACTACAGCTAGTGGGGACACATACAAGCGTCGTGTGGAAAGACAGCCGAGTGCGATGAGTGCGCTAGTGCTCGACAAACTCGGGGCTGTCTGAGGAAAAGGGTATCTTGCGCGAACTGCGGCAGGGAATACCGTTCGTTGCAATCAGCAACGTATCGGACCTACGCGTTACAGCCTGCGCCAATCTCCAAGTGACAGTCGCACGGACACTTATCATTATTACGT